GCTCCGGCTTTTTTGCGCCCCCAAGCAAAAAAAAAAAAAAGGGGGGGGGGACTGGAGTGCTGCCCCTTGGAAAGTGCTGCCCCAAGCACATGCTTCAAGCGCTGGTGCCTAGAGCCGGCCCTGCCCTTCCCCCTCCCCCAGGGCTGGGACTAAATCCCAGGAGTCCTGGCTCCCAATTCTACCTCAGGCGAAAGAGTTTAAAGGGTTAATTCCATATAGAAGAACAATTCCCAGCTCTGGCGTTACATGTCCCAGCAGGAGTTGGAAGCGCTGCGGGGGCCGGGTTGGGCCGTAGGTACAATGCTCTGCACAGCCCTGGGGCAGTTTAACCCTCTCCGCCCCGGAGCTGGGAGGGAGGAATCGGCCAGATTCTCAGCTGGTGTAAATCATCCTCCATCCAGGGACTCCAATGGAGCAGCACTGACTGACCCGAGCTGGGATCGGGCCCCATTGACTCCAGTGGTGCTATGGTGGATTCACACCAGGTGGGGATCTGGGTTTTCACCTGTATTTCACTCCTGATTCATTTCACCTCTCTGCCAGGACCCACTCTGAGCTCTCTTCCCCGGCCCAGCCACTGCTCCCGATCAGCCTGTGACCTGATGCACCTCTGCCCATCCTGCCCTAATGGATCGTTAACTCCTGTCACTAGTGGGGAAGCTTCCCCAGTTAGGCATCAGAGCTTTACCAAGCCAAACAGACCCCAGTGTCTTTAGGAGCCACCCTCCGAGACAGCTGGGCCAGTGACTGCCAGAGAACAGAACTGGGCCAGTCTGCGGGAGATACAGGGCTGCCGAGCGCAGACTCATTTTGGGTTTGGTCATCGGGGCTGGACGAATGCACCCTGCTGACGGCAATGTCAGGGGAGGGAGGCAGTGTCGCCTAGTGGATACCACACTGGACTGGCACATGGAAGGCTGGGTTCTGCTCCTGGCTTTGCTACAGAAAGGCCACCCTGGCGTTTGCTGCCCCCTCTCTAGCCCCCCGGCCTTGGCTGACGGGCAGGATGCCCCGGGCCTGCTGGGTGACTCCGCGTAAGACACTTCATCTCTTCGGGTTTGTCTGCACCAGGGGTTCTCCAACATCATTGCACCGCAACCCCCTTCGGACAACAAAAATTACTACACGGCCCCAGGAGGGGGTACCAAAGTCTGAGCCCATCTGAGTTCTGCTGCCCCAGGCCGGGGGCGAAAGCCAAACCTCAGGTGCTCCAGGATGGGGGACTGGTACCTGAGCCCTACCGCCCAGGGCTGAAATCCTCGGGCTTCGGCCCCAGGCAGTGGGGCTCAGGCTTCAGTTTCAGCCCCCGGCCCCAACAAGTGTAACACCAGCCCTGGCGACCCCATTAAAATGGTGTTGTGACCTTGCACTCTATATGTTTTATGGAAATATGTTTATAAGTGTGAATATGATGTAACTGAAATATGTTTTATGCAAATCATCTCTTGTAAGGTATCATTACAAAGCTTATAATCTACAGAGTGTGGTCATCATATTTCTATGAATGTATCATTCTTGTATCTGAAACTAGAAATATGAAGTATAACTCTGAGGTCCTATTGTAATTATGCAAAGTGTGGGCCATTAATGGTGGTTTGAAATCTTAATGGCTCCCATTGACCAGGACAATCGGTTGTAAATGGCTCTGTTTACTTGTAAGCCTTCCTGTGTTCCTGTGTGTCAGCCTAGGAAGAATGGAGGCTTGGGGGTCTCACAGGACATGTGACCATGTCACCTGAACTGGAATCCATCTTAAACCTGGTGCTTTTCCATTTAGAAGGGGAGTTAGGGACCCAGAGAGATAAATGATTCCCGGTTTGTGCCAAAGCCATAAAAGGGGGTGGAACAGAATAAAAGAGTTTGCCAGTCATGAGAAATCCCCTAGTTACAACCTGAGCTGGAACTAACAAGAACTGTACCAGGGGAAAGGATTGGGTCCAGACTAGGAAGGAGTCTAGTCTGTGAAAGAAGCTTATTGGAACATCTCTGAGGGCAAGATTTTACCTGTATTCAGTTTTTTTAATGTATTGGGCTTAGACTTGTGTGTTTTGTTTTATTTTGCTTGGTATCTTACTTTGTTCTGTCTGTTATTACTTGAAACCACTTAAATCCTACTTTTTATACTTAATAAAATCACTTTTGTTTATTAACAAACCCAGAGTAAGTGATTAATACCTGGGGGAGCAAACAGCAGTGCATCTCTCTATCAGTGTTGTAGAGGAGGGACAATTTATGAGTTTACCCCGTATACACTTTATACAGAGTAAAATGGATTTATTTGGGGTTTGGATCCCATTTGGAGCTGGGTGTCTGGGTGCTGGAGAGAGGTGACCTGCTGAGCAGTTTTTGGTTAAAGCCTGCAGCTTTGGGGGCATGGACCAGACCTGGGTCTGTGTTGCAGCAGGCTGGTGTGTCTGGCTCAACAAGGCAGGGTTCTGGAGTCCTAAGCTGGCAGGGAAAATGGGCTCAGAGGTAGTCTCAGCGCATCAGGTAACAGTCCCAACTGGGGTCTCTGTGACTGAACCCGTCAGTGTCGTGACCTAAGTTCCCTCTAAGTTGTGTGGCTGTGCAGCTACCTATTAAGTCCCATGCCTCTCCCCCGCCCCCGAGCTGCTGCGGTGAGAGAGGGCTGGAAGGAGTTCTTTCTCCCCACCTCAGCCCTGGGGACCCTGCAACCCAAACCCCTCATCCCTGGCCCCACTCCAGAGCCCACACCCCCCTGCACCCCAACCCTCTACCCCAGCCCTGAGCCCCCTCTCGCACCCCAAATCCCTCATCCCCAGCCCCACCCCAGAGCCTGCATCCCAAGCCAAAGTCCTCACCCCCCCTGCACCCTACCTCTCTGCCCCAGCCCTGAGCCCCCTCTCACACCCCAAATCCCTCATCCCCAGCCCCACCCCAGAGCCTGCATCCCAAGCCAAAGTCCTCACCCCCCCTGCACCCTACCTCTCTGGCCCAGCCCTGAGCCCTCTCCCACAACCAAAGCCCTCATCCCGTGCCCCAGCCCAGCACCTTTACCTCTAGCCAGAGCCCTCACCTCCTGCATCTTTTCCCCTCCTCTGTTACATTCAAACTGAGAGACAACAGCACCACGCTGGTGTCTGGTTGCATCTATTCTATGTCTAGCATCCCACCTGTAGGTGCACAGGGGGTAACAGCGCCACCTGGTGGCTGTTTATAATTATCTCATTGATTGGTTGATACCATATGAGGCCTCACCCACTGGCCTTTTTTGAGAGCACAGTTTTCTGCCAAGAACATGCTGTCCTGGCACTGCTTCTCCCATAGACCAGCCTGGCCATTCAGCAGCCGAACTGCCTGACGTGCAGGTTCAATCAGGTGTCTCAATGGCAGGTAACTGCAGGAGACAAAGCCGGGGCCCCAGCAAAGGAGCCCAGGGCTGGAAACGTGGCCCCGAATTCACAGCTCGCGGCGCTGTGGGGAGCTGGTGGGTGGGTGCTGGTCTCTCTTTGTTGGAAAGGGGCATGTGTGTAGGCACAAGCGCAGCTTTCCATAGTGTAGAGCAGTGGTTTTCAAAGTTCAGGTCGCGACCCAGTACTGGATTGCAGAATCCAAGGCACTGGGTCGCCTTGTTCAGCACGGCCAGTAAAAACTAGTAGTCCCTACCTATACCGATACTGCACTGTGCCCCCGAAGCAGCCAGCAGTAGGTCCGGCTTGTAGGCGGGGGGGGCCACGGGGCTCTGTGTGCTGCCCCGGCCCAGAGCACCAGCTCCGCACTCCCATTCACCGGCAACCGGCCACCAGGGGGTGTGGTGGTGTGCCTGCAGGTGAGAGCTGCGCAGAGCTACTTGCGCTGCTCCCCAACCCCCTG